TGACAAAGATCGTTGTGCACACAACTAATGACTTACCGCGAGATAAGTAAATAGTGTCCTTGATAGAGCGCAATATTTTTTTATGCTGTACCTTTTCTATGCCTACAGGCTATCACAATGTTCTGCCTCCTGATAGTGTTGCTTACCGAAGAGCTCGACACGTGCTTAGTGAAAATTGGCGCGTTCTCGAGTCCCTTAAGGCGCTGAAAACAGGCCAGCTCGACTTGCTTGGTAAATTGATGTATCAGAGTCATGCTTCTCTAAGGTTAGTCTAGTTATCAAAGTCTTAATTCCATATTTGTGCAGCTTAATCTTCTCACTATTTGGATTTCAGAGTTTTAGGAATTCTTGGTTTCCAAATACTTTTGTTTATTGCTAACACTTCGTGTGTACTAGCTGCATAGATTTGCACACAGATTTTTCATCATTGGTTCCTGCAAAGTCATTTTCCTGTTGATAAGAAGATCGTCCTGTTATTATAGACTCGAACTGTCGTCTGAGAACTGTTTTGGGTTTAGACGCAGGGCTAGTACGGCCAGCCTTACGCACTAATGCAATCCACTTTGAAATAAGGCAGGTGCATACATGAAGCTTAAAGAACCGACGCATGGAGGAGTGTTACCTTAAATGCGGTGCGCCAATAAGCGCTCTCGTACGAATCTAATTATATTATCTAGGAAAATCCTTACGTTAAATTCAAATTTGAGGATCAATGTACACAAAATCTAAAACAGCTATTTTAGGCCACATGCCTTCTGAGAAAAATTACGGGAAATCGGCATGAAATAAAAGTTTAGTCGAGTTACTACAAAATATTAAACTATTCCGTTCAATTAGGCTAAATTTATATATATATATTTATTTATTTATTGTTTTATCATCAATTTATTCTAAGCTCCGAAATATATTTATGATGATGCATTTTTACTTCTTATTAATTGAAGATTTCGTGAAAAGTTAGGATATCATACCAACATTCTTTTCCCTAAATGGTCATTTTCTGACTGCTGCAAAAATCTCTTTTTACTATACTATTTTAACTAGCTCATCGACTATAGGGTATTGAAATCGGGATTTTCTTTAAATCCTTCATGCTGCAAAGAGTTATATCATTGACCGGATCGTGGAGGTATTTACATACGTGGGTTGTATTTCCGCACACCTATTTTTTCTATCTTAGCTCTTTTTAAAGAAACTTTGGAGTGTGAACCGCTTATTACAAGTATTAATGACTCTGCTACTAGTATTGAGATCACTAATGCGAGTTATAATATACTTTTCTAATATTTTTTATTATGCTTTGCCTTTCGTCATTCCTT